GCAGGCTTGTCATAAAAGGTGACGAATTAGTAGTCTGCTGTACTCTGATGCTTTGGGCCGAAAGGCACATATATCACAGTCTTGCTGTAAACTACATCACAAAATGCGTACCACACTTTTAATGGGGAAAGCAGAAGTTAGATTTTTTTTTTTTTCAAATAATCAGATTCAGTTATCTGTCTGTCTGTCAGTCTGTGTCTGTCTGTCTGTTTATCTGTCTGTTTATCTGTCTCTTTAAATGTGTCTTTTACTCTCACTTTCCCTCTCAGTCCATGTCTGTCTGTATGTCTGTTTCTCTTTCTCTCTTTCCCTATCTGTCTGTCTCTCTTTTGTGTGTGTGTGTGTCTGTATGTGTTTGTCCGTGTGTGTGTGTGTGTATGTGTGCGCATGTGTGTATGCATGTGTGTGTAAGTGAGTGAGTAAATGAGTGGGTGGGCGTGTGTGTCCAGCATGGACAATTCATTAATACATCATAATTGGCAGATGTCCTCAGGCCACTTGCTAGGCCCTAGTGGGCTGCCAGTTGAATAGCCCTGGCTTACACCAAGCAAACTTACTTGGCCAGCAGCAGTTTTTAAGAGAACCAGTTACACTGCACCAGTCTGGAACTCTGCCTTCTTTACATGAACAGACAGAAAGATGCAGTCACAAATTTGTTTCCTCATCATAATTTCATAATCCTCAACTCCCTGTGTGGATTCTGGGGATCCGTTATGGGGTAGGGGGATAGATCCCCCCCCCCCCCCCCCCCACCGCAACACACAGTGTAAAAGGCAACTTATTAGTGGAGCTTTCTTTGAAGTCAAGGAACCAACAGTCTGCATATAAGCCAGATATGTAAAATGATGTGCATGCAAAACTCAGGTTCTGGAAAAAGACGTAAGTCCAGAAGTATACAGACAAATTGATCTTTCTGCCAGGTAGTTTTTTTGCATGCATGTGTTTATTATGTATAGTTTGTTGTATTTTCCCCCACCAAGGCACCAACAAACATTCAAAAACCAGCTGACGAAAAAAGACCAGAGGATAAAAACAAACCATCTGGTGAAATCATCAAACAAGCTGGCGAAAACAAACCATCTGGTGAAATCAAAGGAGATGTTAATATTAATCCTAACCAAGAAACTTCAGTGCAAAACCAGGCTAAAGATAAACCACAGAATGAAGTCAGTAAAAGCGCAAGGAGAAAAAGGGCTGGAGAGACTCCAGTACTGACAGGTGATTCCAAGGAGCGAAATAAAACACAGGAAAAAGAAACTGATCAGGTATGATTAATTTTGTGTTGTTTAATAGTTGTATTTTTGTTGCACTGCTCATGTGGGTTCTGAGGCAAGGAAAACATGGATAAACCCATTGCCTATGTAGGTTCTGAGGCACTGAAAAACATGGATAAACCCATTGCCTGTGTAGGTTCTGAGGCACTGAAAAACATGGATAAACCCATTGCCTGTGTAGGTTCTGAGGCACGGAAAAACATGGATAAACCCATTGCCTGTGTGGGTTCTGAGGCATGGAAAACATGGATAAACCCATTGCCTGTGTAGGTTCTGAGGCATGGAAAACATGGATAAACCCATTGCCTGTGTAGGTTCTGAGGCATGGAAAACATGGATAAACCCATTGCCTGTGTAGGTTCTGAGGCAAGGAAAAGCATGGATAAACCCATTGCCTGTGTAGGTTTTAAGGCATGGAAAAACATGGATAAACCCATTGCCTGTGTGGGTTCTAAGGCACAGAAAAACATGGATAAACCCATTGCCTGTGTGGGTTCTAAGGCACAGAAAAACATGGATAAACCCATTGCCTGTGTAGGTTCTGAGGCATGGAAAACATGGATAAACCCATTGCCTGTGTGGGTTCTGAGGCACAGAAAAAAATGGATAAACCCATTGCCTGTGTAGGTTCTGAGGCATGGAAAAACATGGATAAACCCATTGCCTGTGTAGGTTCTGAGGCATGGAAAAACATGGATAAACCCAATGCCTGTGTGGGTTCTAAGGCACGGAAAAACATGGATAAACCCATTGCCTGTGTGGGTTCTAAGGCACAGAAAAAACATGGATAAACCCATTGCCTGTGTGGGTTCTGAGGCAAGGAAAAACATGGATAAACCCATTGCCTGTGTGGATTTTGAGGCAAGGAAAAACATGGATAAACCCATTGCCTGTGTGGGTTTTGAGGCAAGGAAAAACATGGATAAACCCATTGCCTGTGTGGGTTCTGAGGCAAGGAAAAACATGGATAAACCCATTGCCTGTGTAGGTTTTGAGGCATGGAAAAACATGGATAAACCCATTGCCTGTGTGGGTTCTAAGGCACGGAAAAACATGGATAAACCCATTGCCTGTGTGGGTTCTAGGGCACAGAAAAACATGGATAAACCCATTGCCTGTGTAGGTTCTGAGGCATGGAAAACATGGATAAACCCATTGCCTGTGTAGGTTCTGAGGCATGGAAAAACATGGATAAACCCATTGCCTGTGTAGGTTCTGAGGCATGGAAAAACATGGATAAACCCATTGCCTGTGTAGGTTCTAAGGCACAGAAAAACATGGATAAACCCATTGCCTGTGTAGGTTCTGAGGCAAGGAAAAACATGGATAAACCCATTGCCTGTGTAGGTTCTGAGGCATGGAAAAACATGGAAAAACCCATTGCCTGTGTAGGTTCTAAAGCACGGAAAAACATGGATAAACCCATTGCCTGTGTAGGTTTTGAGGCATGGAAAAACATGGATAAACCCATTGCCTGTGTGGGTTCTAAGGCACGGAAAAACATGGATAAACCCATTGCCTGTGTGGGTTCTAAGGCACAGAAAAACATGGATAAACCCATTGCCTGTGTGGGTTCTGAGGCAAGGAAAAACATGGATAAACCCATTGCCTGTGTGGGTTTTGAGGCAAGGAAAAACATGGATAAACCCATTGCCTGTGTGGGTTTTGAGGCAAGGAAAAACATGGATAAACCCATTGCCTGTGTGGGTTCTGAGGCAAGGAAAAACATGGATAAACCCACTGCCCTTTAACAAACTTGTAAAAGGCAACTAATTAGGGGTTTGCTGGCATAAGATGTTTTGGGTCATAAGGTGCAAATATCGCAGCCTAGCTGTAAATCACATCACTGCATGTCAACTGCCCATTTAAGGGTGAATGCACTGCAGTTCACAGGAACAAAGGAATGAAGCCAGACCAGAAAACAAGAAGAGAATAAGTGAGAGAAGTAAAAACGATGGGAAGGACATTGGGTGAGCAACTTGTGATAGCAAAGGGTATAAAGATTTTAATGTTAAAATAAAGCTTTTTTGTCATTATGACGTCATAATTCGCCTATAGCAGTTGCGTAGTGGTGGGGTTATGGTATGTGTCACTGTTTAAATTCATTTTAGTTCTGATTTAATTTTCTGCCTTATTTATGTTAACTTATTATCTTCTTTGTATATTTCTGTGAAAATCAGCCGTGATGCAGATTTGAACCCAAAACCTTTGGACAGACAGGATCCATTTTCTCTAGCGCTTTGAGAATTTGTTCAGTTCATGAATTTTCTGTCCAGCCGATTTATTACATCCTGCATATCTTCTCCTTCTTAGCGTCAGCGGCTGTAAACTCGGGCAGAAAGTTCTGGTTGTTCATCCACCCCTGGACTGTGATCTTATCCTGAACTGGATTTTTTTTTTGTACACCTTCGTTTTACAGATCTGACTTATTTGCTTTTTGCAGACTGTTGGTTAATTGCCTCTCAGGCAGATGCACTCAGACTGTGAAGGAAACACCCACTAATTATTAAGCTCCTATGACATCCCTTTTAGAAAGGGCAGTGGGCCTATTCTTTGTTCTCCAAAATGGAGCCCCAGAAATTACACAGGGACTGCATATGTACAGCATGATGTATTTTTATTCTCAGAATAGTATTTATTTGTTGTATGTTTTTAAAACTGCATTAAATAAAATAGAGAACACGTTTGTGTAATAAATCCATGCCACTGGAAGTAAGAAAAATAATTCTCGCATTCAGCCAGTTTTTGTTGTGAATCCTAGACAGTTGACTTTTAAAAAAAAAAGTAGCCAGAAACCATGAGTTGTAAACCCTTTGGTTCAGTACTGTGGATATCGCAGCCCTTCGGCCTTGATTCCATTATAGGTACTGTAAATCCGGGAGAATTGTGGCTTTTCTGCCTACCCCTGGGCGTGAACCCGGACCACAAGGAGTTTGTTACCCGGTCGCTGGGAAGTTAGCTTTAACCAACTTAGCTAGCGACGCCGGGCAGGACAGTAAATAAATAAGCCAGTCAATTTTTTTAGGCCTGGGAGATGTGGTTTTACAGAAGAATCCTTAGAATTCCTTGGACAGATAACAAGAGTAGACCAGATGTTTTGAAAGCGAGGTTTCAAAGTCCACTTATCACAAACAACAGAAAAATACATTTTCATCATTTGTTTGGTCATGTTATGAGAAGGAAACTGGAATGTGTTGTGACCACTGGAAAGATATGTGGAGAAAAGGACATAGGAAGACATCGCAAGAAGATTCCTGACAACCTTTTGTCATGGTTTAAAGGGGGGTGTCAGCATAGGAACTGATACATGCTGTTAAAGATCGCAGATGTGGGGAGGCATGATCACCCATGCCAGTCAGCAAGCCACTGCCTTCAAAATATTTTTTATATGTGGACTTTAAAAAAAATTTTTTTTTTTTAAAAATCAGTTAGTCCTTATATGCTACCAGTTTTGTTTTATTTTCCAAATAATATGAAGTATCTTATTAAAGATTGCTTTTAAATTTACTACTTTTAATTTCAAGATAATATGTATGTGTAGCGTATTTTTCAAGATATTTTTTAAATGTAATATGTGTGTATGTGGGGGCGGTTTTTATTTTTTTTATTTGGATTAAAAACAGAAGTTATGTAAAAAGGCTTTTATTTTCACTATGTATTTTACGTTTTAAGGTATAATTGGTCTTTTAACATGATTTTTTTTTTTTAAACTGTAGCATAATGAAGAACTTGTAAGAGTATGGGAAGATGGTTATTATCTGTTTGTCCTCCAAGTTGTTCCAGTTCAAAGAGAAGTCGCAGCAGATTTCAAGATGCACGGTTAGTTTCATACTCTTGTTCTCATATTTATGTGAGAGGCTTAACTCATTAAGGCCCAAACAACAGTGTGAGCGTAGTTTAAGAAGTTCCGTTCTGCCCAAACAACGGTGTCATCATCAATCGTGTATATCTTACATTTTGCTTCGCACTCGCGTTCGTACTAGTTTCTAATGTTTGGAGGTACAAATAACTTATTCAGGGAAAGTCACTCTGCCGAAATCCTTTTAGTTTCCTTTCTTGGACTAAACCACACGTGGATAATTTGAGAGGAAAAAACATCAAAATTTTTTTAACAGTTCATTTTCTAAGTTCGTTTTTGAGTGCACTGAATACCAATGTTCTAACCACAAGAACAGGTCGCAGAATGCGTCTTTATGCGGCCGAAGCTCTGAAATTGTTTCAGTCAGATGTTTTAAATTGTGATAATGATAATAAAAATTTAGATTTTTCGGAAAGTGATTCGGACAGTGAAATTTCACCAGTCAAGCTGAGCGATCAGCTGTTCGGAATCTAGCGATTCTGACGAGTTTATTACACAATGTCCCATACTACCGTATTTATGGTGTAAGAGAAGGAAAGTGCTCTAAACAAAGAGATAGTACTATACTATGGCTAAGCTACATTGAAATCATCGCAGCTACAGTCTGCAAATAACTGTACAAAGTGAATAGTAAATAGTGTGTGTTATGGCTCATTTTTCTGCCATTTTTTCTCTGAAATTTAGCTTAGCACTCGGTGGGAACTAAGAGCCTCTGAGTGATAAACTAACCCAGAAATGAACACCTGCTGAATTCTTCTTTTCCACTAACTATAACAAAATCAAACAAACACTTATCATCAGATTCAGAATGTACACTCATTTCTCGTTTAAAAAATATATACTGTTTTAGGGATTAGAAGTATATTACAATCTCTACAGCCTTTCTTGTACACCCACCCCTCTGCCATTTTTGTAAAGGGAAATTAATGTGGGCCAAGTCTGTCAAAATTCATGGGCCTGAAAGAGTTAAACATCCTAGCAACAAATTGTGGTACAGTAACTTGTCGAATTCATTAAAATGTCACAGTATGGAGAGTCTTGATTGCTTATGTCTTTGCTAGATGAGGTTCCTGAGAGAAAAAAGGAAGAGGAAAAAGGATAAATTATTTGCTTGCTTGTACTTTCAGGTCTGTTCACTTGGTTAAGTCTGTTCTCCTGGGTACACTGTGACTATTATATACTTGTACATATCTGTTCTCCTTTGTACACTGACTATTATATACTTGTACATGTCTGTTCTCTTTGGTAAACTGACTAAAATATACTTGCACATATCTGTTCTCCTGGGTACACTGTGACTATTGTATACTTGTACAGGTCTGTTCTCATGGATGCACAGTCATTACGGCTGTTTTTATATGTCCGCATTGTCACTTGTGCTGGGTTACTGTGTGGTGACATGTTTTAAATGTAGACTCAGTCATGTGTACTTGGTGTAACTTTGACTGGACGTATCTGCTGATGTGTACTTTGTGTGATTGGACATATCTGCTGATGTGTACTTTGTGTGACTGGACGCATCTGCTGATGTGTACTTTGTGTGACTGGACATATCTGCTGATGTGTACTTTGTGTGACTGGACGTATCTGCTGATGTGTACTTAGTGTGACTGGACGTATCTGCTGATGTGTACTTAGTGTGACTGGACGTATCTGCTGATGTGTACTTTGTGTGACTGGACATATCTGCTGATGTGTACTTGGTGTGACTGGACATATCTGCTGATGTGTACTTGGTGTGACTTTGACTGGACTTATCTGCTGATGTGTACTTGGTGTGACTTTGACTGGACATTCCTGCTGATGTGTGACTGGGTGTATCTGCTGCTGCGGCTCAATGGTTTAGAGACTAGTAAATGCATTTTACATTTTCACGATCCTCCAGTACTAGGTACAGTTTCTGTGGTGGACAGTTTATTAACGCTTTCAGTACGAAGCACCAAATGTGACTAGATTTGCTCGCATGCACAGACTAATTATGCTTGTACATTTTATGTTTAGACAGGACATAGTAAAACACCCAACAACACATAACTAGGGTTGTGCATTTAGCTCCTGAGGATGTAGAATACCCATGATTGTATTACTGTTTTTATTGCTCCATTTTGGAGTCATTGTGGTGTAGCGGCTAGACACTTGCCTGCAGATCAGAAAATCATGGGTTTGGATCCTGAAAAAACCAGGCTTTATTGAGAAATGACCTTGGCTCCCAGGTGGACCCAGCCTACCAAGTCCTGGGCCCGTCTCTCTAGCGAAGTTGGCTAAACCGGATTTCGCGGTGAGCGGGTGACGAGTGCTCCTGAACAGACTGGTCCGGGTTCACTGTCCGGGGAGCTGGGCAGAAAAGCCACATTTCTCCCAGATTTACGGTATTTAAAATGGAATCAAGGCAGAAAGGTTGCGATATCCATAATACCGAGCCTAAGGGTTAACAACTCATGGCTTCTGGATACTAAAACAAACAAACAACAAACAACCAAGTCCTGGAAAGCAAAGGCCGTGGCATGATGCTGACCACAAAGCCCAGCAAGTGCTGATTGGTCTATAAAATATAGGTCTAGCCCTATATGCCCAAAACAGCTGAAGGTGTGGAAAAGGGTCCTTTACTGTAACTTAAAAAAAAAAAACTATTACCTCATTTGGGCAGGAGCTGTGACTTTCTGGGACTAAAAGTGGAGGGGGGGGGGTGGTTCTTATGATTTTGGAAAGTGGTACGAGAGTCGCATCATTGAAGACATTGGAGCGCCCCAAGTAGTATTCCCAAAGTCAGCAGTGGGTACACTGTAGCCAACCTTCATTGTGCTGACAGCAGACATTTAAATTTGAGTTATCTTCCCTTGTCAGATCTGTTTGTTGTTCTGTGAAGTTCACTACTACAGCTATTTTCACATGGTATCCTGGGTACACTGTCATCTTTTATCCACAGTGACAGTTAAGATGAGTTACGGGAACAGCTACCTGGCTGCAGTGGACTGGCCATTGCTTGTTGTGAGTTATCAAATGTACACTACTTATGATTGTATGAAACCTTGAAAGGATGATGGTATGATTCATTTTGTTGTTGTTGTCCAGCTGGTTTTTGCTGCTGGCCTGAAGGTCTTGTGTTTGAATCCACATCTCCTCCTTTAACCCACTGCCCCCTAACAAGTATGTTTTGAAAGTCGACCGATCAGGGCCTTTTTCTTCAAAGTAAAAGTGCATCTGCCTGAGAGGCAAGGAACCAACAGTCTGCTTACAAATAAACCAGATCTGAATAGTAGATGTGCATGCAAAACTCAAATTCAGGACGGAGGCTTAAGTCCAGAAGTCGACAAACAACGAGAACTAAGCCGGTGAACACACACACAAAAAGATGGATTTATTTCAAAACTGACATTGACTCACAGATCCACCCAACCTAAAATGGGTAACAGGTAATGTTCTGGGAAATGAAGGCAGCCAGCATGATCACCAATTATACCCACCCACACTGGACTTTTGTGGTGCCGCAGTATAAATGTGCTGTTATGGCTATACTGTTGAATGGGGTCCTCTGGATTTGTACCTCTTTGTGTCTCACCCGTGGGATGTTAATTTTGAAGACTGCATTTCTAGAGGGGAAAACTTTTAAAACCGCACAAAACACACACACACACACACACACACACATATATCATCCATCAATAGCAAATTAATCTTTACAAATATAAGTCCACATCAAATCTTGTCTAGTGTACCATTGGCATGAAGTAGGTCTTTTATTTACTTTCTTACTTAAGGCAGCAGTGGCATAGAACTTAGTGCGCTTGTCTTATGAGTATAAGCAGCAGTAGCATAGAACAACAGTGCACTTGTCTTATGATGAGTAAAGGCAGAGGTAGCATAGAACTACAACTTAGTGCGTGCGCTTAACTTTTGGGTAAAGTCAGCTGTAGCCTAGAACAACTTAGAACAACTTAGTGAGCTTGTCTTATGAGTAAAGGCAGCAGTAGCATAAAAAAAACTTGGTGCACTTGTCTTATGAGTGAAGGCAGCAATAGCATAGAACTTGGTGTACTTGACTTATGAGTGAAGGCAGCAGTAGAATAGAACAACTTAGTGCGCTTGACCTATGAGTGAAAGCAGCAGTAGAATAGAATAACTTAGTGCGCCTGACTTATGAGTGAAGGCGGCAGTAGCATAGAACAACTTAGTGCACTTAAATGAACTGGCATATTCTTTGTGAATCACAGTGACATCTCAACATTTATTCAAATTAGCTATCAAATTTGCATATTTTATGCAAGCATTTTTTAATTACTTAGGACAGACCCAACTCAATTGAACAATTGAGCTACATTTTCCTATGAGTGAAACACTTGTCCTAGCACTTGTGTTTTGGGAAGCAAGGTGCCTGTAGGCCCTCCAAACACTGCTGGCAGATGGTTCTGCTCCTTTTCCTGCATCCCCCCCCCCCCCCCCAAAAAAAAAAAAAACCACTTGACACCTCAGTTTCTGAATCTGCTATGGGACTACCTTCATGAGAAGGGAGAAGACATGAGTAAAAATAGTTTATTTTCTAGCCTGGGGTTTATTCTGTACATCGTGCTAACCGTACATTTTTATAGAGAATATGTTGCTGTTGTATATATTGATTGTATTAACTAACTGTCACTTAGTTGGTTATTGCAGTTGTATTTTCCCGTGTGGATTCCGGGGCCCATTGTGGGGAAGAAAGAATAGACCCACTGCTCCCCTAACAAGCATGTCCTAGGAATTGACTAATTAGGGACTTCCTTGGAAGTCTGAGTGTATCTGCCAGAGCGGCAAGAAACAAACAACTGCACACAAATAAGTCTGTAAAATGGATGTACTCGCAAAACTCAGGCCCTGGAACAAAGTCAGACCCCAAATGGATGAACAACCAGGACTTTCCACTGGAGCTTACAGACAATGAACAAAGAAGAAGAAGCTGTTGTATATAATGACTGTAGTTACTGCCTGATAAGTCTGTGGCTTTTGGGGTTACAAGCAGTTTTATGATTTTATACTGTGTTGGATTGAGCTGCAAGAAATTTGGCACCAGAACACTTTGCATTACTTTTGACAAAGATTGTGAATGTTGACCATTGTAAAGGCGATGGCAAACTTATGAGCTTTTTGTTGTTTAGTAAAATCACAAACAACAAACAAATGCCAGTTCAATCTGTAAAAGATAAGAAACTAACTGATTTACCATCCCATGGTAGATAATTGCTGTTGTATATGTTGTTTGAATTAACTATTGTTGACACTGTTTTGCTTTGTGGCTCTCTAGTTCTACGGTGTCATGGGCCTCGTTTACATCTTCTTTGGTATATTTTGGCTGGTTTTGTTGGCCTGTAATTGGAGAGACTTGCTGAGGGTGCAGTTCTGGATTGGAGCTGTTATATTTCTTGGTATGTTGCAGTTCTGTTTGTATATTTTGCAAAAACATGAGAATAAATACAACTAAACATAAAATAAGTTGGAAAAACTCCTAGTCGACAACATATAGTTTAAGAGTATATGTCTAAAGCCAGATAAACATTGTAAATACCTAGAAAATATTGTAAAGTGTGGCAGAATACACAGGGAAATTGAAACCAGATGGTGCCGCTATACTAAATAGCACCGTTATCAAGACGTCTAAACAACTTTGTCTGCAAAGTACCAGATTATAAATAGCATTTTCATAACAGCTCTATGCCCACATTTCCAAACTTGGGCTTTATAAAATGTTTGCATTTGCCAAATTTGCAGAGATGCCTTCGAAAAATCGACAGTTCACCTATCTGAGAAATGAAAAAAACAACGCTGTCAGCTTGTGGGAACAATATGTTGAAAAGCAGAAAATCAGATAGTTTAGATATCTTGTTGGATCTTGTTGTATCTGAGGAGAGTTGATAAAAGCAAGAAGTTTTCTGAGAAGAAGAGTTACTTACACAGGTGCTGTATCTAAGAAGAGTTGATACAAAGTAGGAAGTTGTCTGAGAAGAAGCAGTTACTTACACAGGTGCTGTATTTAAGAAGAGTTGATACAAAGCAAGAAGTTGTCTGAGAAGAAGCAGTTACACAGTTGTTAGACCACTAATGATTCCTGCCTATGTCGCTTAGCAGCAAAAATGCAAGATAATGATAACAGTTCTGTTTATCCTCATAGGTGCTGCTATAACGACTGGGCAGTTTGATTTATTGTTATGATCAGTTTTCTTTTGACTGTAGCGACAAGCGAAAATAAGGAATTGAAAAACTGCATAGAAGACATATGCAGTCATAGTTATTTAAAACTGGACAAATATAGCATATACCCAATTAAGGCCTGTGTGTTACTAGGGCCAGTCAGGAAAGCCAACACTTGTGGCACTGTAATTGACTGTTTGTCATAATAAGGCAGCCTAGAAGGGTAGGTATATGCTGGCTGCCTCGTCCCTGAGTGGACCCAGAAAACAGTACAAAAAGTGATTCATTACAGCCAGCCTTCAGCATGAAGATTGTGCTGGATGATGATGATGGTTACAAACTATATTCTTGCTGAGGCTTACTAAACATTTGTTCACACACACCCACCCACTCACACCCACCCACCCACCCACCCACACACATGTAGATGAAGTTAGGAGTGTGAACTCGAGGTCTAAGGAACATATCTTGTGCTTTTTCCTGCAGGTATGCTGGAGAAGGCAGTGTTCTTTGGTGAATATGAGAACCTGAATAAGACAGGGCAGTCAGTGAGAGGAGCTATCATTGTGGCTGAGCTGGTGTCTTGTTTGAAAAGAACACTGGCCAGAATGTTAGTCCTCATTGTCAGCCTGGGCTATGGCATTGTCAAGTAAGTCAGTTAAGCTGAGCACTAACAATTAAGTAAAATTAATGTTAAACTGTGCATTGACAAATTAGTAAAATTAATGTTAAACTGAGCATTGCCAAGTAAGTAAATTTAATTTGTTAAACTGAGCATGGTCAAGTAGGCCAATTAATGTGTTAAACTAAACATTGTCAGTTAAGTCAAATTAATGTATTAAACAGAGCATGGTCAAGTAAGTCAAATTAATGTGCTATGCTGAGCATTAACAATTATGTCAAATTAATGTGTTAAACTGAGCATTGTCAAGTAAGTCAAATTAGTGTGTTAAACTGAGTATCGTCAAATTAATGTTAGTCTTTTACAATTACAATATGTCAGGCTGTGCTGCTCTCAAAGAAATAGTTGCTTCCCTTCTCTTTGACCAAGAAAATAAGGGTTTGATTGGCACAGTCTTAGAGAGCAAAGTGATGTCGTTATAAGTTTATTAAGACCCCACAATGACAAAATAAAAACCAGATAAAAGCTAAAATGTGTATGTGTGGTAAATATGATCACCATGCCTTCCCACTGTGCAGTTGCAACCAGTACCAAAGCTATTATATAAGCGTATTGGCCATTGCCGGAAGATGTTGTGTCATCAAAAACCCATATAAGTCAGAAAACCGGTTATCTTAGGGTGACAGGATTAAAGCATGCTCTTAGATCTCTGGCAACACTTGAGTCACTTCTGTTGTCAGTACATGTATCTGCTATGTGCCATTAGGCATCACAGTTGAACAGATAATAGGTAGCCAAGCTAGTGTGTGCTCAGTTGCTTGATATGCTGTGAGGGTTGTGAGTAGGTTGTCAGTGATTCCTTTAATCAGTATTTTTCTTGGTCTCCCTCTGCCTCTTGGTGTTTCCATTTTTGTGTTGTCTGTTGCTGTCAGTTTCATTGGATTCATTCTCACTAGTTGGCCAGACAATTTCAATTTGATTCTCAGTGAATTTGACAAAGAGAGTTGTTCAAATTTCTTCATTTCTGACGCAGTCACCCCTAAAATTAAAGGTCGAGAGGAGCCACTTCATAGCACCGCATTTGGTTTGATCTCCCTCCTCAAAATGGCTAGCCACCTGCTGAGATCGCTGTGCAGAGCCCGAATTCCTTAGCTCCGGTGACGAGCAAAAATTGTGCTTGTAAACTGAAGGGTGCAGCCGGCAGTCACTCCTGCTATCAAATCATACTGTAATGTAGAGGAAATAACCATTATTTTCAGCTCATGACTCAGTTGATTAGTTATGAGAAGCTGTTTCATATAATTTTAAAAAAATTAATAAATTTGTAACACATATAGCCACATGCATGAAATATTGGTGTTATATATTTTGCAGACCAAGACTTGGCCAAACATTCCATAAAGTGCTGTTTGTAGGAGGTGTCTTTTTTATTCTTGCCTCAATTGAAGGTTGCTCAAGAGCTTTGTCGGTACGTGTTTATTGTTTGTTAACACTTGTTTAAATTAAAATGGGAAAGATTTGTTTGTTGTGAAGAGAAACCAGTTTAATACCAATGAGCATTCGGTAGGTGATATGTTCTACATTATGCTGGTCACCTTTACTTCCCAGGACATTTCCTGTCACTAATTTTAAGCTGGGATCTTCTTCTTCTTCTTCAGCGATCTCTGGTCATGCGCATAATCCACTGTGGGTCATAAACTGGGATGTCTTTTCAAGGTCTCTTAGGTTTCCCCAAAGCTTAGTTGTCAGTTCTACTGGGTGTTGCCATATGTCGCTCCGCAGCTCCGCCAGGAGAGGACAGTCTTGCAGGACATGTTCTGGAGTCTGTTCAGCACGAAGACACTGGCAGAGAGCTGTTTGGCTCATACCTAATTTATATGAGTGTTTATTGAGTCTGCAGTGTCCAGTGCGTAAGCGAAAAACTGTGACTTGGTCTGTTCTGTTCAAGTGCCTCAGAAAATCTTTTCCGTAGTCATAACCAGTGTTGTTTTTCCAATCTGTTTCTGATTTTCTCTTAATGAGAGTTTTGACTTCTGGAAAAGATAGTGGCTGGTAGGTCTGTAGTTTGTTACTGCCTTTCTTGGCTAATGCATCTGCGCTTTCATTGCCTTTGATGCCGCAGTGAGACGGAATCCACTGCAAGTGAATTTCTGCCTTATTTGACAACATAGCAAGTTCCTGTGTTATACTTTATAGTGTGCTGTCGGTAGGTTTGGACTCAAGGGCCTGTACAGCTGACAGTGAGTCAGTGAGGAAAACTACCCTGCCTGCGGTGATTTGCAGATTGTTCATATACTGTGCTGCCATCAATAGAGCTGAAAGTTCTGCCTTGTAGTTAGAGCAAGTTCGTCCGGTGGGGGCTGCTAGGGACACAGTAGTGGCATCTGGGTGTTTTATGTAGACACCTGCCCCACCATTCGTAGTTGCCTCTTTTGCTGATCCATCCGTGTAGATTCTTGTCCAGCTGTCCTGTGGGAACATGTTGTTGAGGTGTTCCATTGTGAGTGCTTTCTTCACTAAAGCGGGCTCAGCATCTTTGTTTCCCAGGTTCGGGATGGATGTTGACACATTGAGTGTCAATAATTCGGAGTCCCAGAGATCGAAAGATAGCTCTTCAGGTGTACATTGTTGGTTAAGTAGTGAAGAGAATGACTTTCCAAATTCCTTCGTTAGATGGTTTAGGCTTGTGCGCTTTATTCTGTTTTTTGCCCTGGCTGCCAATTTTCGTGTAATGGGTGGTTTAACATTCTCTTCATTTTTTCAGCATGTAGAATTGCTTTTGTCCTTCTTCTTTCTTCTAAGGGGATGATGTTGGCTGCCTTTTCCATTTCTACAATAGGTGTAGATTTTATGGCTCCCAGAATTGTACGCAGACTTCTATTTTGCGTTTTGTCTAGTATCTGTTTATTGGAATGGGCTGCTGTTATCCATGACGATGATGCGTATTCGAGAGTTGGTCTGACTGTGCCGGTGTATACCTGCTTCAAGATACAACTGTCTGCTCCCCAAGTGGTGCCTGCCAATTTCTTCATCACACCTTGTTTTCTCATGGCTTTTTTGTTAGTTTCTAGTATGTGATGTTTCCATGTCAGGCGACTGTCAAGCTTGACTCCCAGGAAGGTTGGAGTATTGGAGCGTGGAACAGCATCATTGTTGAATTTTAATGTAAACTTTCCTCCTTTGTAGACAATGAGAAGAGTGTTGCTACAGTTTTGTTCCTGTTTACTTCGAGGCCCCATTTGTTGGCCCAGTTTATGACACTATTCACACTTTCCTGGAGTTTTGATATAGCAGGTCCAATGAACTCAGAGGTGTACCACACAGCTAGGTCATCTGCATGAAGAGAATGTGATACATTTCTGGGTAAAGTTTGAGGTAGGTCGTTGATGTAAATCAGGAACAGGACTGGAGACAGTACACTACCCTGTGGTACTCCTGCTCTCAGCTTGAATCTGGGACTATGTGCTTCATCTAGTTTCACAGGTGCCCGCCTGTGTGATAGGAAGTCTTGTATCCAGTAGTACATTCTGCCTCTTATTCCACTATGTAAGAGCTTTAGCATCAAGCCATCCTTCCATACTTTGTCAAAGGCCTTGGACATATCAAAAAAGACTGTGAGGGTTTTCTTCTTTTCCTGGAAGCCATTTTCTATGTCCTGTGTAAGGTATGCTACCTGGTCATCAGTGCTTCTGTGCTGTCGGTAGCCTGTCTGAGCGGGATCCAGTTTGTGATTGGTTTCTAGGAACCACTGAAGTCTGGTGGCTAGCACTCTCTCCATCAGTTTTGCGGGGCAGCTTAGCAGACTGACAGGCCTGTAGCTCTGAGGGTCCTTCTTGTCCTTGCCACTTTTGAGGATAGGGTGGATTATAGCATTTTTCCAGATATCTGGGACTCTGCCTAGTTTCCAGCTATAGTTGTATATCTGGAGTAAGATGTTTTGTGCTACTGGACCCATATGTTTAAGCATGTCGTTTGAAACTTCGTCTGGGCCAGGTGCCTTCTTTGACTTGAGTTTTCTCATTGCTCTTAGTAGCTCAGTTAGAGTGATGTCTGTCTCCATGCATGGCTCACAGGAGGCTTTTTTGAATATGGAGTTTATCCCATCTGGGACTGCTTTCTTTTGCTCCAGGGTTACTGAATATGAGCTTTCTTTCTCATAGTTTCGGGCCATCAGAGTCGCTGCTTCCTTCCCTGTGAGTAGATTTCCTTCTTGTTGGAGAACTGTTTTTCCATGAGATGGGTTGTCATCATTAAGTGCCTTTGTCAGTCTCCACAATTTTGTGGTGTCTTTTTCCATGTTCAGAGAAGCAGTCTTTTCTTTCCAGGACTTTCTACACTGTAGGTTTCTTTCTCTGACATAGAGAGCCCTTGCTTTGTTGTGTTGCTTCACATGTTCGTCTGTTGGATCAGCTTCCATGCTATCTCTAGCATCACAGAGCGAGCCGTGAAGCACTTCCAGTTCTGGTGACCAATATGGCTTGTAATTGTGCCTCTTTCCTCTAGGAATGGTTTTTTTGCTGCATTCAGTATGGCCTTGTTGAATTCTTGTGCATCTCTGTCAACCTTACCTGAAAGGCTGATTGCTTTGCAGTTTGAGTCTGCAAGTTCTTGAAAAAGTTTCCAATCTGCCTTTTTGTAGTTCCAGCTTGGTGCAGTATCTGGAGATTTTTCTATTTTAAGGCTGTTTATCAGAATCTTCACTGGCCTGTGGTCACTGCCTCCTAACTGGTCACACACCTGCCTAAAAGATATCTTATGGATGTCGTCTGTTGCAAATGCTAGATCAGGTGTGCTTGTTGTGCGCCACCGTCTAGAGTAGTGCGTATGCGGGTCATCAGGGTGATTGAGAAGGGTGAGACAGTTTGTTATTAGCCACTCCTCAAGATTTTCTCCACGAGCATCTAAACAGTCATAACCCCAGCTGGGTGAGTGACTGTTCAAATCTCCGATAATTAGCAAGTTGCTCTCTTGAACCTGTATAGCTTCAAGTTCGGTGGGGAGGGTAGGTGGTGAGTAAATGTTGTAGACTGACATATTTTTATTTTTTAGTTGCAGCTGGACAGCAATGAATTCAGTATTCAGCTGGTTGGATCTATGTAGTTCAACCGCTGGTATTGAATTACGAACCAGCGTGGCAACCCCACCTTTATGTCTATTTTTCTCTGTCTTGGCGAAATATTTCATATCCTCTAATATGAAATCTTTTACTTGGGTTGAGGTGCGTCTCTTGAATGCAGATAACGTCGATTTTTTCTGCTCGCAGGCGTTCCTCTAGTTCTCTCTTTTTGTTAAATACGCCTTCGGCGTTCCACTGCATGATTACAAGTGGTGGAAGTGTGTCCTCGCAGTTAGAAGTGACACCCTGTCCTCCCCTAGCAATGCAGGAAGCCGCGGGGCTGTTAGTGGCTAAGGGTAAACCTGTTTGAGATGTGAGAGCGAGTCCCGCTTTCACTTGATTGTTACCCAACGTGGTGGTACCACTATTGGATAAATATTTGCGCATGGCCATTGAGTTAGCCGTATGTGTCGATTCCCCCCCACCAAATATATGGTTGACACATTCCGTTTCTGGGGACAGCTTTTATCGAGTTTGCTCTCTAGACAGTTGCAGTCCCCTGCTGACGAGATTCTGTCTTCCCGAGTGGACCGCCGAGATCAAAACATTGCAAAGGCAGCGTGTTCGAGGCTGCCAAAACTATCGGTCATTATCCCGCCCCGACACAGCACAACCACAATACACGCTGTTCCCACGAAAAACACATAATATCCCGCGTTGGAAATGCGCATAAAATAGCAGTCCATGATTATAGAACAGAATAATCCGAGAGAATTGACAGCCAGCGACAAAAAACACAGCTGCTGTCCGCCATTTTGAAAACGGAAGTCTAAGCTGGGATGACTTGAGAGTTAAGGTCATTTATGAACATCCATCTCATAGATTCCAACCCAAGCTTTTCAGGGCCAACAGGCAGGTCTTAGCCCCTGGGCTGCTGCAACTACCAGAATGTGTAGATTGTAATTATTGAGTAAATCATGTTGTAATTATTGAGTAAATCATGTTGTAATTATTGAGTAAATCATGTTGTAATTATTGAGTAAATCATGTTGTAATTATTGAGTAAATCATGTTGTAATTATTGAGTAAATCATGTTGTAATTATTGAGTAAATCATGTTGTAATTATTGAGTAAATCATGTAATTATTGAGTAAATCATGTTGTAATTATTGAGTAAATCATGTTGTAATTATTGAGTAAATCATGTTGTAATTATTGAGTAAATCATGTTGTAATTATTGAGTAAATCATGTTGTAATTATTGAGTAAATCATGTTGTAATTATTGAGTAAATCATGTTGTAATTATTGAGTAAATCATGTTGTAATTATTGAGTAAATCATGTTGTAATTATTGAGTAAATCATGTTGTAATTATTGAATAAATCATGGGGGTTTTACCTATTTTTTTAAACTGCAAGCTAAAATTAAAATGTTTTGGTGTTAGTTTGTTCCTTATCTTTCTTTACAGCACATTGATGTTTGACAGCTGAAAAAAGATATGCAGGATCTGCCCATAGTAATACATTTTTTAAAAGGGTACAGACTAGTGAGAAATCATGTGGAAGTTGCAGCGATAGAAGATTAAAGTAAACAGTGGACTAGTGAATAGTATGATGAAGATGATTTAAAATAAACTAACACAGAATACTAGTTTCTGGATTCATAAGAAGACATTTTACATATTATTTAGGTACAATGTGAGAAAAGAGGGAAGAGGGCTGGGGGTTGGACTGGCACATTGTGACAACAGAAAAATTTGAGGCAAAGAGAGACACGTGTAGATCAACAGAGAATATGCTTGTATGACATCATTGGTATGGAAGAAACATGTGTCAGGAATATGATCACATGAGAAACAAGGCTGTAGGCAGACATAGTGACAAACTGTACACAGCCTAGACTATAATAAAAAAAAAGAAGTCCCTGTTTGGGTTCCGGGACCCCAGTGTGATGGAAACAGGAATGGTTTCGGGACCCCAGTGTGATGGGGGGAACAGGAATGGTTCCGGGACCCCAGTGTGATGGGGGGGAACAGGAATGGTTCCGGGACCCCAGTGTGATGGGGGAAACAGGAATGGTTCCGGGACCCCAGTGTGATGGGGGGAACAGGAATGGTTCCAGGACCCCAGTGTGATGGGGGGAACAGGAATGGTTCCGGGACCCCAGTGTGATGGGGGGAACAGGAATAGACCCACTGCACCACCCCTCCAAACAAGTTTATACTAAAAATGGACTAATTGGGTTGTTTTATTTGAAGTTGAAGTACATCTATCTGAAAGGCTAGGAACCAACTATCTGCATACAAACAAGCAAGATCTACAAATTGGATGTGCATGCACCCAAGTTCTGGAACAGTACCCAAGTCCAGAACTTAACAAACAACCAGAACTTTCCTCCTGGAGCCAATGAAGGCTGAGAAGAAGAATAAAAAAGCAGCTGGACTTTTTTCATTTAGTTTTATTCTATGAATTATTTCTTAGGATTTTCTTTAAACCTAATATAGGATAATTTCTATTTTCAGCTTTCCTTGTTGTGCCTTATAACATTTGTTGTGTTGACCTTTGAAATTTCAGGGTCGAGCCGATCAGTCAGTGAAGCTTCTTGTAGCCAGTGTTCCTTTGGCTGTCACAGATGCCATCATTTGTTGGTGGATATCCTTTTGGTTTATTGATACACAGCAGTAGTTATGTATGTACACTAAGCATAACAAGGTAGACAGTGGACTGTCCAATGATCTTATTTCATCATTGAAATAAGCATCTGTGCACAACATTTAGAGTGAAACTTTGGTTTTTGAACTGAATTCATCCCTCAAAGTTGTACAGAAAGTGAGATCGAAAACTGAAATTATTTTCCCCATAAGAAGTAATGTATAGAATTATTTTCTCAACTCCATATAAAATAAAATCACACCACACCCCCAATTTTCTGTAATTTCATTCTGTGAAGCGAATGTTTTCAGGATTGACTGTTCCTGAGCAGAAGTTTAAAAAAAAAAAAACGCAGACACCGAGTTTGTTCTGAAAACATTTATTCAGAAAATTTCATTGTTCAAGAAAGAGGGTTGTTCGAGATTCAGAGTTCCTCTATAAATGTATCAGTGTATCTGAATATAGAGATATATATAATAAAAACTGTTTAATATTTTTCTTTGCCTTATCAGTACTTTTTTTATGGTTTAGAAAATATGACTAAAACAGTTACTAATTAACTTCAAATATCCATTAGCTAGTACCTATTCAGAACAGAGGAACTAAACTGGTAAGCAGATTCACTAATGTGGAGCTTATAGTGAAAATAAAACATATGAACAAATCTAGCTTTGCATTAAATAACATATCAGTCTTCAGGTCAAATAACATACCAGTCTGGATTAAATAACTGTCTAGTCTCCTGAATAAAAAAAACAGTGCATTTTTGGATTAAATAACATGCAAGCCATTGGGTTAAAGCACATACAGATGCTTTTGATTTTAAATAAGCATACCAGTCTTAGGATTAAATAACATACTGGTCTTTTCATTCAGTAAATACCAGTCTTCGGGTAAAATAACGTATCATTTTTAGGATTAAATAATGAACTGGTCTTTGGATTCAATAACATACCAGTCTTCAGGTTAATTAACAGACTGTCTTTAAGTTGAATAACTTGACAGTCAACTGCCATGAGCAAACAACAGCATTAACAGTTTGCCCCGGATGCCAAAACGAACCCGCCGAGCAACTAATATTGGCCGGCTAAGCTAACACAGTAGCAGAACATGATTTCTGCAAAAAACTAGCTTAAATGGATACATTTAGGAGTAGATAGGATTATATATTAGATTATTTTACGAAATGTCATGTTACCTGGAAATCTGGGTGTTATGTTTATAATAGATTTGTTTTCTATGTGGCCTGCAGCCAGGTTGGTAATTCTAAATTTGGCCTGTGGACCATAAATGCTTGCCCACCCCTGCACAAAATCCATCCATCATCATCACTGAAGTAAAAGAAAAAACCTAGACACTAATGATGTTTTGCTGTCTGTATATCGGTGGTAAATTGACTCACAGTTTTATGAGAATTCTTGTTTGCTGAACACATTTTTCTTAACCGGATCACATCTTTTCATCGCTGCTGCAAACAATTCGCACATTGAGGCTGAGAAGAAATGTGGTGAAGCTTTCTCTGTACAGGCACTTCACAAATGCACTCTCTTTTTCTGTAATAGGTAAAAAAGAAACATATTTTATGTTGAGTTTTGTTTTCTGATCCTATTTGTGTGACTAAGAAGCTGGTGATATATTAAACATGTTGTGAAGAGAAGTAGGCATAGAAATGCCAAACAGGCATTGAAATAGGAAACAGATGGATTGAAGAAACGAGGATATCCAAGAGAAACTCTACAATGAATGTTAATAAGAGAAGCCTGAAGGGCTGTACTGAATTTCATACTCTCCCCATGTGGGTTTCCGCGGCTCCGTCGTGGAGAAAACAAGAATAGACCCACTTCCTCCCCAACAAGCATGTCACAAGAGTCGACTGATTAGGGGTTTCCTTCAAATGAGAGTGCATCTTCCTGAGAGGCAAGGAACCAACAGTATGTATACAATTAAGTCAGATCTTTAAAATTGATATGCATGCATCACTCAGATTCTGGCACAAGTCTAAAGTCCAGAGGTGGATGAACAACCAGAACTTTCTGCCAGAGTTTACAACCAATGGACATGAAGAAGAAGAATTCCTTACAGAATGTCAAAAATTTGCACAGAAAAGAACAGAAACGAGTAATAGCCAGTGAACCGTTTGTGTCATATGAAAGGCACATTTGACATGTTCTCAGGGCAGAATAGCCTGTCATTTGATCTGTGGAGAAAACACGAGTGACTGCAGTCAAGATAATACGAAGAAAGTAATCCACTGAACTGTGACTGAGAATTCAAGGGGGAAGGAGTAGGAGGAGAACGAGGTAACACACACAACAAAACTAAGATGTTTTGGGCGAATCCATCATTTTAGTGTCGAGAAGAACTCCAGCCAAAACATCTGATTTTTTGTGTGTATTTACACTCTTCCCCTCCCCCACCCTTTTTCGCTGTCTTCTGAGTCACATTTCAGTGGATTCATTTATAAAAGCAAATGTAGGTATGACCTGTATGCTATAGTGTCAATTTTTAAATCAGTAATCAGCCATGGTGGCATAGTAGTTAGTGCACTTGCCTGTCAAAACACTGATCTGAGTTCAGTCCCTAGAAGTGGCAGGCATTTCCCTCACTAGTATAGTTCTGTTTGCATCTAACCTCAGAAAAAAATTGATACTAACAATTTCCAGATTTTTCAGGTCAGTATGGCAGATTTTTTTTTTTTTTTAACGTATCCAGAAACCATGAGTTGTAAACCTTTTGGCTCGGTACTATGGATATCGCAACCCTTCGGCCTTGATTCCATTATAGGTACCGTTAATCTGGGAGAAATGTGGCTTTTCTGCCTACCCCCGGGAGTGAACCCGGACCACAAGGAGTTCGTCACCCGGCCGCCGCGAAAGTCAGGTTTAACCAACTTCGCTAGAGAGCCGGGCCAGTATGGCAGATAGGTTGGGTTTACTGTTTTTAATTGTGTCATGTTTTTATTGCTGACAACAATTTGCCATTGTATTTTTCTTCATATGAAAGGATATAGTTCTGTCACCCAGCTACTGAGTTGAGTGCATGTTGAGACACTGTGATCTGCAGATTTGATTTGGAATGCTTTTCGGCTCTGCCCAACACAGTTTGTGTTGTGAAATTCAGATTCAGAAAATGACGAGTGGCCTGTTGCCAGAGAACGGTTCTATAGCTTGAGGTGCTACCCGGGATGTACTCTTTAACATGAAAATCTTCTTCAGCTTACAGTACATATGACTGTTGGGTCTCTTGTCCTGTTCTGAATCTTCTTCTCTTTATTCACCGGCTTTAAGCTCTGGTGGAAAGTCCTGGTTGTTCGTCCATTTGGGTTTTGGATTTGTGCCAGGGCCTGAGTTTTGCCTGTACATCAATTTTACTAGCTTATTTATGTGCAGCTGGTTATTCTTTGTCGCTCCGGGAGATGAACTCTGACTTGGAAAGAAGTCCCCAGCTAGTCAACTCCTACAACATGCTTGTTGAGGAGTCATTGATTCTATTGTTGACTCCCCCTCAATGGGGCCCCAGAACCCACACAAGGGATGGTCTGAATTTTAAGATAAGTAATAAGAATAAGTAATCTACAGCAAGACTGTTGTCTTTCCATTACACTGGGCTCTCAGGTCAGCCCAGCCTAAAATGGGTACCAGTTAATGTCCTGAAAAAAAAGTAAAGGTGGCTGGTGTGAAGATCACCACGTTATCTGTTCATTGCTGAATGGTCTATACAAATATGGGTCTGACATTATGTACTAGATTCTGTAAGTGTGTTACAGGGCACCATTTTGAGAGAAAATAGACCTACTGTTTCCCTAACAAGCATGTTGTAAAGCCGACAGGGAGTCTCTGATTATGAGAAACATAGTTTTCGGACATAGTAGGTTTAGTCTGTGTTTTATGGTTAAGTGGTAGATTGTAAAATTTGTTTCTGTAATTTAATTTTTGAATAAACTCAACAGCATCTGTGGCCTACATGATCTGGTTCATGACTGAGCATCGTTTAAAAGAATGTATAACAGTAAGTACTCAAGTTTAAGTATCTAGATTTCCCTGTAAGGGTTTCCAGGGACCCATTTTATAGGGTGGAAAATAGACACACTGTTCCCCTGTAAAAAGTGACTAATTAGGGGATTTCTTTTGAATTCGGAGTGCATCTGCCTGAGCAGGATTCTACATACAAGTACGCCAGATTTGTAAAACAGATGTGCACATGAACCCAAATTCTGGAACAAGACTACAGTCCACAAGTGGACAACGATCAGAACATTATGCTAGAGTTTACAGACGGTGAACGTAAGGAAGAAGAAAAAGTATCTAGGCATATGATAACATTAAAGGGAAGATATGTCACCGACTGAGATAAATAAGAGAATGAGACAGGCAAAACAGTGTATTTTATAAAATGAAGAACATTTGATACGATAAGTCCATGTCATGAGAGGTTAGGAAAAGAATTCTGGCATGCTATATAGAGACAGTTTTAACATGTGGCCATGCATCCTGGACAATTAATAAACAAGCCATACAGTTTCTAAAGGCATCTAAGATGTGGTTTTTTATAGAAAAATGCTTAAAATGCATTGGACAGCCAAAATAAGTCAACCAGATGTTTTAAAATAGGCAGGGTTCCAAAGACATCTTAACCGCAAACATCGGAAAGAGACAGCTTTCATTTTGTGTGTCTGACGTGTGCGAATGTTCGCTTGATACAACGCACACTTGCCAAGTATCCATGGTATGTTAAATAGTGTTACAGTAACAAGTCACCATTCCCGCCCAACAGCAATAAGGACGCCGGATACATGTTGAAGATTAATGTATTTCTAATTTGTGAGATAAAAACGTTACAGAAGTCATTCCTACTGGCAAGGACTACGGACTGCTACTTCTACTGCCACCCTATCAATACGAGTGCTTGACATGCTCTTTCTATGACACCCATCCCTTGGGTACACTGTCATAGCAGAATCATACAGGCCGTGGAACATTGTGAAACTTGGACCTATCGTCTGCGGCCACACGGGTCTGTCACGTGGTGCGACCGCTGTAACAACACTCAAGACAGCCCGTAAACTGCCAGCGTAGTTTATGCAGGACCAGCCTGGATCCATCCAGATTAGAACAGGCTTCCTACACAGCGTAGTAGAGTCCACCGTTACTCACTCCCTCTCTCTCTCTCTCTCTACATTACGTTCAATGTGTGCGCACCGCACCAAGTGTTACGTTCAATAATGAACTTCCCTTCCCATATATTGCACACAACAGTGTCCTTGTTATGAGAAGAGGGAAAGTGGAACATGTTGTGACCCCTAGAAAGATCTGTGGAAAGAGAACTAAAGGAAGACTGTATACATAGAGTCTTGACATCCTTTTGTCATAGCATGGTGGAAAGGGGGGGGGGGGGGGGTAGTTAAGCACATAAACTGATACATGCTGTTGGAAATTGCAGGTTGTGGAGAGAGATGATTCTTCATACAGGTTGGCAAGGCACTTGATGATAATGGAATACAATTGTTAAAATATGGCAGCGAGGAAAAAAAGTGTTAAAGCGCTGAATAGGACCTTTGTTATTGATAAATGCATGTTAGACATGTCACAGACTACAAGCAGACGTGTCAAAATCGCCCACGGACAGCAGAAATGAGATAAATGCAAAAAATTTAAAGGGAATGATTTAAAAATAAAGAAGGCAGATCTACTTAAGACATGAAAACCATAAACAGATTAGAGAGAAAAAATGAAGACAATCAATATTTTTTGGTCATGTTTTGAGGAGTAGACCTGAGAATGTGATACCTGGCAAGATTGATAGAAAAAGGGCAAGGAAGGACAGACATAAATATCTGGATGACTTGGTCATGAGGTTAGGGACGGGGCAAGAGCGCTGACTTAATCTGTTATTCTTGTGTGAGATCACAAACCATCTTTCTTTGCTTATCCCCAGAGTACACAGTGGGGATGAGTTTAAAACCTTTCATTTTTCTTATTTTACAAATAAAAAAATATATGGACATTTAAAAAAAATGATCTTCATTATTTCAGGACTGGAGGGAGCTGTGGATTGATGATGCCTTTTGGCATCTGCTGTTTTCAGTCATTCTCTTTGTTATCATGATTCTGTGGAGGCCATCAGCAAATAATCAGAGGTGATTGTCTAGAGCAGATTTGTAGTGACAGATTTACCCATTATAATTCAAATGTTACAGGCACCTGTGCATTTCACACACAGGTTATTACAGGCAAACAACCATGATTATGTGTGTGTGCATTCACATATAGCTTGAAACATACAAGCAGCCAAGACAATGCATTCACATATAGTTTGAAACGTATAAGCAGCCAAGACTGCATTCACATATTGCTTGAAACTTAACAAGCAGCCAAGACTATGCATTCACATATAGCTTGAAATATACAAGCAGCCAAGACTTTGCATTCACATATAGCTTGAAATGTACAAGCAGCCATGACTATGCATTCACATATAGTTTAAAACATACAAGCAACTACATTTAAAAAATAAGTGTTAGTCCATAAAGCGTCAAGGGTATATGGAGCAGGGAGTAAGAGATCCCAAGTTAACAATTACATGTTTGCAGCATGCATACCTAGAGCAAAAACTTCCACCAGCCACTGAAGAGTTCCATCAAGTAAAGAAACTCTGTAGTGCAAGTTGCAGTTGTGTAACTTGTTGTACCCACTAGCTGTTGCCCACAGAATGTTGAGAAAAGATATGTGTATATAAATGTGTCTCTGTATGCGTGTTTGCATGGATGAGTGGGTTGTGGGCATCTCTCTTTTTCTTTCACACACCCACACCCACACAGATACAATAACTAACTGAGATAGCATTTGGCTATGATGGGTATATAAGTCTTTAAGTCTGCTAGAAACATTCAGTTATATCTGTGTGTGTCTTTGCTTTCCTGCTGCAAATTAGGGGTGTTTCCTTTGAAGTCAGAGTGCAACTGCCTGAATAGCAACTAACCAGCAGTCTGCATACTAATAAGCGAGATCTGTAAAATGAAAGTGCATGCAAAACTTAAGTTCTGGAATAAGACTAAAGTCCAAAAGTGTATTTTAAAAAAAACCCAGAATTTACAGCCAGTGATCGCGAAGAAGAAAAAGAAGAAGTCTGTCTGTCTATAACCTTGTGTCACAAGTCCTGACAATCATTTTTAATATAGTTCCTTCCATGCGATTCTGCCAAACTGCAACATCATTTCTCTTGTTTCTCCTCTGGCTGTCCTCCCCAGTAACTTTCTTATTGTCTTAACATGCCCCAGTTTTCCTCTTCTTATTACATCCCACAGAATATGAATTGTCTTTTTCTGATGTGTCTAATCAGTTATCTTTGTCAGTTAACTACTGTTCATTACACATTTTATCTGTCCTTAGTGTTCTCATAATTTATTTTAAGGCATACATAGTTATATGCAACATTACTAAACAAATGAGCGAGAGGTTTTTCTTTATTTTTATTACACATTATTATAAAACATTACACAACAGAGATGTTACAGAAAGCAAGCAGGAAAGTTCTGTCAGGTTTGAATCTTTGCTTTTCCAGCCCTCTATCTTCATATCCATCCCAGCAAATGTAAATATCTTGAAAGCCCATTCTGCTTGGATATTATATTTTCCTGTTTAACTGCATGTAAAGTGACCCACCTGTTTCCTGACCTCAAAGCAGATTACATAGCGCCAGTCTTACACTTGTATACACCAGACTTCAGTGAGTTAGGTGGTCAGTATCACACCATCTGCCTTTGCTTCCCATAATATTCTGGCATGCATTATTAGGCTGGGTTCTTCTGGGAGCCCAGATGAAGAGATGTGAGCTCATGACTGTTGGGCTGATAGCCACGCAGGCTGGACACGACTGTTGGGCTGATAGCCAAGCAGGCTGGACATGACTGTTGGGCTGATAGCCAAGCAGGCTAGTCATGACTGTTGGGCTGATAGCCAAGCAGGCTGGACATAACTGTTGGGCTGATAGCCAAGCAGGCTGGACACTCTTCTACCCAGGGCTGCTATTTACTGCATGTAGTGTATTGAACAAGCTCAATTTGGGAGACTCCCTAAAGCTGCTCTACCCAAAAGCTGTTCTACTTATGGTACCAATAGCAGTTTGACTGTATGTCCATCTTTCCTTTCCTCTAATTGTTAAGTGTTGGCTAAATCTCCTGATCACTTTCCACTGCTGCATTCTCTCCAGACCTGTTCATTCTTCCCAATTTTTCACCTCCCCCCAAGTTCCTTGACCTCAACTATCTTGATGTGCATCAGTTTACCATGTAATGCAGGCAGGTCATGTTGTCTACCTGTCTATATCCAAACACACCAGTAAACTTTAGTGAACAGATCCAGACACACCAGTAAACTCTAGTAAACAGATCCAAACACACCAGTAAACTCTAGTGAACAGATCCAAACACACCAGTAAACTCTAGTGAACAGATCCAAACACACCAGTAAACTCTAGTGAACAGATCCAAACACACCAGTAAACTCTAGTGAACAGATCCAAACACACCAGTAAACTCTAGTGAACAGATCCAAACACACCAGTAAACTTTAGTGAACAGATCCAAACAACGCTCGCTAACTGTGATCTCTTTTTAACAGTACTAGCCAATCTGCATGAAGCATGCCTGTCACCACCTTTCTCAGCATACTTTTTGTTGGCAGAGAGATAATAATGGGCACAGCACTGTTGCTGGAATTCTTTATGTTAGAATGAATCTCCACAGTTTTTATTAGATCTACCAAGGGTTGACATGAAAGTGTATGAAAGTTACTTTGCCTAGAATTCTTCTTATCAGAAGATATAGCAACCACTCCAGAACAGAACTACAGGGCTTGGAAGAAAAGATGCAGACCAAGAAAGACCTGGATACATAATCTGGCTTTAATAGACAGGCCAAAACATACAACTATCAAGTCCATTGCATTTGACAGACGGACAGAATAGAATCAGACAGTCAACAGCAACTGGTGACCCAATGACACACAGTCTTACAGGACTATGGTGATGATTTTGTATCAGACTAGCCTGTCAGGATTCTTGGACGTTTGTATTATTCATAAATAAATGTTACATACAACACAGTGGAGCTGACTAGTCATGTCACATCTTTGAATGTTTACTGTATGCTAGACAAAAACATGACTGATATGCCCGCAGTTTTGTTGTTGTTGTTAATTGATCTATACTTGGTTAACATGAATTTCTCTAACCCATGGTGCTACTTCAGTAGTTAGATACTTCTTCCTTTTCTTCGTTTTCACCGGATGTAAAGTCTGGCGGAACATTCTGGTTATTCGTCTACCTCTCGACTTCTTGTTCCAAAACCTGAGATTTTTCAGATCTGAATTATTTATGTGCAGATAGTTGGTTCCTTGCCTTTGAAGCAGGTGCACTCCGACTTTTAACAAAAACCCAGTTAGTGGACTTTTACAACATGCTTGTTGGGGAGACAGTGGGTCTGTTCTTGTTTTCCCCACCAAAGGGCCACGGAACCTACATGGGAAGGTTAGATGCAAATTCTGTACATATTCCAGTGTTGGTTGAGGTGTATGATCATCATTGGCACCTTTCCGTCTTTCCAGACGATAGTGTTATATTGCGCTATGAGGAGGCATGAGACTCGCAGCACATGGCGATGGTGAGTGTGACTAGCAAGACCCGCCCATGTCAAGAAAAGTCTTCCACAATGATAGCATGGGATTTCAGGACCATTGTTGACAACATTTGTGTTTAATCCGTTTCTTTTCAGATGCTCAGCTCTCATCCTTTCTGCAATCATTTCTTCCTTTAGTTTCATTTCCTTCCTGATATGCCCTTTCCACACAACACGGTACATGGTATTTTGTTCCCACGAGTCTGCCTCAATACCTGTATCATTTATGTCCCGTTTGCACACATCTTTATATCATAGTAGAGGTCTTTAATTCACCATAAAGGATGTCCTTGGGACTCTGCCATCCTCCATTCTCCAGATGTGACCCAGCCACCTGAGTCTTCATAGACAGCATGAAAAAGACTGTTGCAGTACCTGTTCTTTCCAGTACCTCAGTGTTTGTGATTTTGTCCTGCCACTTAATGCCAAGTATTCTTCTCAGGCATCACATGTGAAAGCTATTAAGCCATCTCTCCTGGTGCAAATAGGTTGACCAAAATTCACGCCCACAAAGCAGAGTGCTGAGAACACAAGCCTGATAGACAAGGGTTTTTGTTTTAATTGTGAGCTTTCTGTCTCCCAAACTCTCTTTGTCAATCTGCTCATTGTTGTTGCTGCCTTACCTATCCTGATGTTGATTTCTTGGTCCAGCGATAGTTTACTATTCACTGTGGAACCCAGATAGGTAAAATAGTCTACTGTCTCAAGCTCTTCACCATTAGTGTAGACTGTAGGTCTGTCATTAACACCTTGCACCATAACCTTTGTCTTCTTTTTGCTGACTGTTAGTCCAAATTCACAGCACACATCAGCAAAGGCAGATAGTAAACATTGCAGCTCCTACTCTGAGGTGTATGATAGACCTGGCTAATGATGGTACCATATTCTTTCTAGAGGTATCTAGTTAGTCATGTGTGAAAGTGCAGTTGTTTCTGCAGCAAGATAATGTTGTCATTTGGAGTTGGTAGGTTTGATTCAAGGTATGGTAATTAAAGCTTTCAGTCTTTATGTTATCTAGTGTGTCCTCTAATTTCTACTTGTTTCCTCTCGGTTACTTACTAAATGCCAGTCAGTACATGTCAATTTCGCTTATCATATTTTATTTCCAGATATGCTTTCTCTCCACTTCTCGATGCAGCGGATGATGATGATTTGGATGATGAGCAAACACTGAGTGATGCTTATGGTATGTGTGCTTGGTTTCTAGTTCTTTAAGACTGTTTATCCTTCTCTTTAGGTCGATCCAGCTGTCAATGGTTACAGAGCAACATCCTGGCAAGTAAAGGCAGCTGGCGTGATGTTGACTGCATCACCCCGTGTCTATAAAAATATAGGTCTAGCACTTGATGCCTGATGTACCAATGGTATTGAAAATGATCCTTTACTTTACTTAACATCTAAACACTTGACACTTAGGGGAAGGATGAGACGGATATACAATCTACTGGTGTGGTCGGAGTTTGAACACTTTTTTGCTTGCTGCTGAAGATAGGTGCGGAGCGCTTATGGAAGGGTCCCGAGTGTTCTGATGTCGATTCTTAATTCAACATCTAAATAGATAAACATGGCATTAAAAGCTTGTCACTTATTATGTATACTTAACCATGCTAAATAATGCTGAAACCTGGAAGGGGAACAGCAATCAGTAATAAATCAAACTGAGGCCCTTCCCTGGTGGGTTATGGAAACCCATTTTGCGGAAAGGAGGGGGGTGAAGAGAAAGACTTCCTAATTTGCAAATAGTAAAAGGCAGCTATTTAAGGATTTGCTGAAATCAGATACGTTGGACTTAAAGGTGAAGATATCAGAGCCTAGCTGTAAACCACAACACATTGGCTAACTGCAGATGGGTCACCCCATAACTGCTCCATTTCTGTACTTGTGAAAATCACACAAATTGTCCTTTATGGTCCCATTTTAGAACTGATGAAAAACTTGTCAACCTAGCAAAATCTTGAAGCTTGCACACGCAGAGGTAAATGCGTAAGGCAGCTCTCAGATGTGCCAACAGTAACAACAGAATTGCAGCTCACTGTTTGTGAAAACAGTCAGCCACGTAAGCTGCATTGCACCCACAAAAGTACACACCATTTTGAACATAACTGGCTACCCGCCATTTTAGTGTGGTCAACAACTTGCCACAGGCACAACAGCAAAAAACATTCTACATGAAATCAACAGCTGACACTTTCGCACCAGGCACTCAGGATGTCTAGTCCAGAAATATGGAATTTGCATGAGCAAAACCTAGCTGGAAACAGATAATTCAGAGAGCCATTGGTCCGCCAGCTGTCTGCCAATGTGGCCAAAAATCATCATTCTTCTTCACATTCACCAGAACACCGGCAGAAAGTTCATCCATTTCTGGGTTTTAGTCATCTTTTAGAACCTGAATTTTGCATGCTCATTTGTTTTCCAAATCTCTTGTATTTGTAACTATTGGTTCCTCACCTCTCATGCACTCCAACTGTGAAGGAAGCATCCCTAATTAGCCGACTCTTAAGATATACTTGACGGGGGCAGTGGGTCTGTCTCTCCCCCCCCCCCTTCCACACCCCACATTGGGGCGCCAGAACCTTGTGGGAAAAGCTGAATATACAGAAGAGGAGGTTGTACTTCATGGAAATAAAAACATTCAAGTTTAGAGGTTTTTTTAAAGAGACTTTTAATGAAAACAGGGTTGAAGGAAATTAGAAAAGACAAGTGAAATATTGTGGCCATAATAATAAATATAACACTTTAAAACGTTATCTAGGGAAAGGTTGAAACCAATACTATCCTAGTTGTACGGAACCTCACGAAAGACCCCTACAGCACGTCCTCGTCGATGCGCCACGGATAATGTCTCAAATCTTCATTAACAGAGCTGTCAAAGATCTCGGCCAGTTTCTTCAGTTCGGCGGCCCCCAGAGGTGATGTGTCCTTGTGGCTCTCATCAGCCCGTCCCCCCAATACGCTTGGGTGAAAAATGTTATCAAAACTATTCCTTACATGATTAGGTTTGCCAAACTTTTACAGGAAATAACCCTTGTTAAAAGACTGCGGAGTAAAGAGAACATATTCACTGCCCCTCCCCTTTAACCCTCAGTGTCGAAAGCAGTGCGCCTGAGGTACACCACAACAGCAACCATCCATAGGGAGCCATCCTTGTACATCCTCGGTTAACACAGTGTCGTCGTCACCGCGCTGAAGTATACCACAACAGCAACCATCCATAGGCTGGCCATTCATGTACATTCGGTTAACCCTCAGTGTCGTCGTCACTGATTTTGAGGTACACCACAACAGCAACCATCCATCAGATGGCTAAGCCAAAATGTCCGACAAAACTAGATCATACTTGAAAGCAAATTGACCATCAAAATTTTTATTGAACTGAACTGAAAAAGACCGAATGCCCACACCCAAAGAACCCCATGTGTCGCCCGATGTTGGAACAAAACTGATTGATATTTCTGATGCAGGATGTAAAATTATGTCGGGCAACGGCTCGTCAAAGAAATCTAGAGTGCGAAGGCTAAAAAAAAAAAAAAGAGAATGTACCTACCTGTGTGGTCACAAAAGTTCAAAACCCACGGGCTGCCCCCCGCTGACTTCCAGAGGGCGCCAGCCCCTGTCGAGCGGGAGGCCTGATATGTGAGGTTAAGCAGCATGTGCAGGACGTGTCCTGATTCCTTGGGTGAGCCCAGAACCAGAGCGCCATGTTTGCCACGTCTGCATGCATGGAAGCCTGCTTGGATGGCGGGAATGCCCATGATCTGCCCCCTGCCTTCCCTTGATTAACTGTTCCACAGGGGGCTGCCCCAATGGGGTACTCCGGTGGCATACCTGCGGCGATGGAGACAAAATGGACACCACACAAATCAGGCAACTTCTCGACCCACACAAAAAACAATGGCCACAGTTCACCCTAGAAATAGGCCTGACGTCTTCCTAGAAGTCGGCGTACAGCTGAATGAGGATGGGTCAACTAATTACACAGCAACGATCAGGTCCAGGTCACCAAGAGTCCGAAGGATGATTAAAGGGACCTTAAGTTTTATTTCCGGTGCATAAAAAAAAATGCACAGAGACTTTTATGAAAACATTGTGTAAAATTACCATACAGTGAAAATAGCCATAATGATATAACACTTTAAAATAGTTATCTAGGGGATTGAAACCAAAGCAGATAGTGATACATCTCAAAGTTAACACGATGGATGAAAATCTTGCTTGTTTTGATTCATTAGCCCTTCGAAGAGCAGTTGGCCCATAGTGTTACACTGCTAGGTTGCAGCATCTGCGCAATATCACAACCAGTCTCAGCATATCCTTAATTAGTCGCCTTTTAGGAAATACTTGTTAATGGGCAGCATATAACCTCCCCTCCCCTTTCCCCATGTGAAAGCAGTGTCCTGTAACCCACACAAGAAAACGGGAGTGTGGGAGAGTCTACAACACGGGCCAGATATTGTTTTGAAGATATGAATGCTAAGCAAGGAGGGATGGTTGTCATTGTTTAATTCCATTTCACTGATTTTGTCAGTTCTCTGACCCAGCATCTTAAGCCTTGTTCATAAGAATGTTACTTGAAAGCAGATTCATGTAGTTTTACTTCTAAGGAGTTACTTTAAACCAAAATGTGTGCAGATTTGTTTGTTTTTCTTAGAAATTAACTTTTAGCCAGCATTTGAGTAATTTTAGAGTGAATAAATATAATAAACAGATTTGTTTCTTCAAAATTGACACTGGCTTCCGGGTCGACCCAGCCTAAAGTGGGTACCAGGTAATGTCTTGAAGGCAGCCAGTGTGATGTTGACCACGTCATCAGAGTGCTGATTGGTATACAAATATGTCTAGCCTCCTCTGCCCTATTTGCCACTGGTATAAAAAGGTTCCTTTACATTTTCACTATGTATAATTAATAATCTACGTCTGTTAACCTTTTGCATAAATTCTCTAGAGGGAATGAAAATGAGGTCAACTAATTCACAGCAACGAAATGGGTCACCAAGAGTCAAGGATGACAAAGGGGTAAGTTTTATTTCCTGCATTGCATGGATTTATGCTTATTGTGTAAACATAGCATACAGAGAAAATAGCATATTGATACATTTTAATAGTTCTGGCCACCAAAGCAGAATCGACATCTCGGTTACCACTATAAAATCTTGCTGTGGTGATCAAACCAGCCACCTCTAATGGGAAAATCACTTCATTCATAGTTTTAGCATTCTCAATCCTATGCAAATCAGTATTCTGTGCCACTTTATATAATTGTTATTTAACTTGTTTATATTTATGACAAATGTATGAGACATTGTTTATTTTGTTTCATAATTTCACCCTTCTAGTCTGTATTTTTCCCCATTGCCAACTTCTTGTTGGCATGTTTACCTTGGCTATTTATAAGTTTAGTTGAGTTTTCTAGTCGCAGTTGGCATTTTTACTACTAAGCTGATAAAGACTTTGGTCAAATAGTTTGCTTATATAGAGTTTGTCAAAAAATATGTACACAGTAATCGCCCAGCAGTGAAATGTATCTACATGTAGGATATTTACTGTATTACGGTAACAATGTGTTGCATGGTGTTTTTAGAAAAACAACCTGTATAAACATTTTGATACTACGTTTATTCAGACATGAAGAGATGTATACAAGTTATGTATGGTGTATGAGGTTACTACAGATGTTGAAAACAAATGATTTCCATAAGCCTCCAGACACAACAACAGTTGGATTGTGAAAAAAGCTTTCAGTACTGTGATTGATACAGTTGGATTGTGTCAATAGCTTTCCATACTCTGATAAATTTGGATTGTGTCAAAAGCTTTCTAAACTAAGATTGATACAGTTGGATTGTGTCAGCAGCTTTCCATGCTATGATTGATACAGTTGGATTGTGTCAACAGCTTTCAGTACTATGATTGATACAGTTGGATTGTGTCAATAGCTTTCCATACTCTGATTGATAATTTGGATTGTGTCAGCAGCTTTCCATGCTATGATTGATACAGTTGGATTGTGTCAGCAGCTTTCCATGCTATGATTGATACAGTTGGATTGTGTCAGCAGCTTTCCATGCCATGATTGATACTGGTTGATTGTGTCAACAGCTTTCTATGTAGTGATTGATACATTTTGATTGTGTCAACAGCTTTCAGTGCAGTGATTGATACATTTTGATTGTGTCAACAGCTTTCCATGCAGTGATTGATACTGTTGGATTGTGTCAACAGCTTTCCATGCCAGTGATTGATACTGTTGGATTGTGTTGACAGCTTTCCATGCCATGATTGATACTGTTGGATTGTGTTGACAACAATTGTGTTTTGTAACTCTGACATTGATTTTTTTGTTTCAGGAAGATGATTTGAAATGGGTTGAGGACAATATACCAACATCTCTGGCTGATCGGTGAGTTACTCGCTGGCAGTTTAAATTTTAAGCCTTTATTATAAAAAGTGAGAATCACGGTAGCATTATGGCTAAATACACACCTGCCAGCCTGAAGGACTTAGGGTTCAGATCCCTTTCAAGATGGATTTTTGTTTCAAAATTGTCGTTGGCTCCCAGGTCGACCCAGGCTTAAATGGGTATAAGATAATGTCCTTAGAAAATGGCTGCATCTTTCGTTAGAAATGTTGTTTGCAAAATCCACTCAGTCTGTAGTGTAAAAAAAAAAAAAACCCCACCTAAATTAGAAGAAGTATGATGTTCGATGTGGAGAAAGGCTCAACAAGTGTGAATTGCCTACTTACCTTCCATAATAATGAAAAATATCTAGATTTGTTTGTGTTCACCGGTTTTAAACTCCTGCAGAGTCTTGGTTGTTCATCCAGGCAGATGAATTCCAACTTCAAAGGAATTTGGTACCTGAAATGTTAAAAGCGAATAATGTAAGGACAGAATGGAAGGAGCTGTAGGAGACCAATGGATAAAAGAGCCTGAGGTCGAGGACCTTTGCCTCATTGGGAGATGCAATAGAAAAGAAGAATATAATTTCTGCTGCCCTATGAATTCTCATGTAAATTTACGGTCATTCATGCTTGCTTGTCTGCTAGTAAGTACACATTTTTCCTGTCATACTAAACCTTCATTTATTGACCTGGTGTTATTGTTCTCTTTTCTTTCTTGTCTTCCTCTTTCTTCCCAGAGCATTCTTTCTCATGTGATCCACATTCAGATGTGTTTCAACATTATCTTAAGGGTGGTAAGATTTTTATAGTTTTGTTCACGTATCATAACAGAAGAGCATTTGTCATCTGAGATCTCACATATTCAGTGACTGGTGAATCCTCGGCCCCATGTGGATTCTGGGGCCCATTTTTGCCTGTTTGTTAACAAGCATATTATAAAAGGCAGCTAATGTAGGTTTTGCTGAAATAGGGTACTTGGGCTAACAGGCAGAGATATCACAGCATTGCTATAATCCATAACTTGGCATACTACCTTTTTAAAGTGTGAATATAGAAGAGGAATCTTCAGGAAGACTGAGTTGTAACTCTGAAGTTTAGCATTTAGATGGTCAGAACCCCAAAAGCAACCTACACATGTTGGGGTGTAGTTGGTGTAGAGAGCTTTTTCCCACATTCACATAGAAAACACACAGATGGCCATTCTCCAGTTATAGTTCATCACAAGATACAAGAGGAACAATTTAAGAGAGAGAGGTTTCAACAACAACAAAAAAGATTAAGGTTAAAATTGAGAGGATCGACTTCATTGCACTGGGTTTTATCCCACAGGGCTCTATCTCTCTACGGAAGCGTTGGTCACATGCTGAGCATGTCGAACAAAGCACAAACTCTGTAGCTCTAGCAACAAACCCCAGAGATCTACATAAAAATTGCATGCATGAATTGAGCAGTGACATAGTAAAATGAACTTATGATCTTCAGATTGCAAGGAAAACAGCTTAACTGCTTCACCACAAAGACCCCCAGGGAGATGTTTTAATGTTTTCATTGACTCACATTTGTAACAAATTTCTTTAATTTTATTTCCAGAGTACTGCCGGCTCTTGATTCAGATGAAGAAATCATGAATACGAAATTTGAAGTTTCAAAGATGGAATAAGTCTGACCTTATGGTTATTTAACAAAGATAATTAGATATATATGTACAAATATTGTGGTAATGCTAAACACACAGGGGATCAACACTGAGAACTAACATATTGCAGTCAGGTCATTCAATTCACAACAAGCACACAGTGGAATATTAGAGTTGTCTTGTCCAGATACGCATTTAGTAAGTCTGATACAGCTTGGGCTGGGTCTCAAAGGTCAAGAGGTCAGCATTATTTTGAGGTGGTATTTCCTAGTGTTCGTGATGGAGTGACTTCTGTGGAGATTTTTGGTTCATTTTGCCGTGGCGATACATTTTTACATAGCTGTTGATTACCAGTTTGTAATGTTAGTCATGTTTTGAAAATGTGTAGAAATACAGTGGAACCTCATGAAATGAGTGTACCTGGATACGAGGTCCCGCTCACCAATTCTGGAAAGATATCACCTCTCGGTGTTACCCGACAGCATCTTGATAACATTTAACTTGATTAGGCCATGTTAACTTTGCAGGAGGACATAAGCCAGTCGACAAGGCAATTAGTGATGATGATGGACTGTAGCATCATGGTCGGAAGTGACCCCATTTTCTGCTTTCAGTAAAAATGAAAAATCAGCTCCACATATGTTTTCCAACTAAAATATTGAAAAACATCATTTTGAAACCAAAGGCTGATTTTTGGATGGCTGGAATGGATTACAATTATTTACATTAATTTTATTTAGAAAACTTGCGTCAGGAGAGGAGTTCTTCACCGGAAGAGTTCAACCATGGAACTGATTAAATTTGGATTCTGGTTTCCACTATTCTTTTAAGCCTCAATCTGTCAGAGTAACTAAACTCGGAGAGAAAAAAAATTTCTTCACTAGCCCCTATACTTTAATTATTATCATTGTATTATTACTATTACTTGACAGCATTTTTAAAGATTGGAATAAAGGTGTGATTAAATTAAATTTGTGGCATTGGTATTAGTGCAGACGCATGAAAGGAATAGTAGCAGGTGTAGCAAAATGGAAGCAACCGTTAGGAAGCAAGCATGTACCTGGTGTCATCAAAAGAAGTCATCTCAGTATTTTAGGTAAACTTTATTAATCACTACTTGTAGAAATGACAAAAAACATCCATAAAGAAAAACTTGAAAACAAAGCCTGTGAATTTGTTTTGGTTTTTGTGATTTGATATAATACATCCATTGCTCTGTTTTACTTTGTGGTTCAAAGCAGGGGCTGCTATTTTTTGAAACAGAAATGCATCAGCTTTCAGTCTGTAGCACAGTAAATTGTTCAAGCTTGGCCTCATGGAGTTTTCCCAAGAAGTGAGAATGCAAATGGTGACTTCTTCTGATCCCAGGTGTTTGTTTTCTTCCTAGCAGTTGCTTTTTAAATTCTGACATCTTTCCTATGTTTATTGTATAGCCTTTGGGATGGATTTCATTTGATCACACCTCGTAGAGTAGGCAGTTTCAGTTTATTAGTGTTAGTTTACTGGGGAAAAAAATGTTTGTCATTGTATTTGTTATATCATTTATTATGTATGTAAGATGTTTTGAAAGTGGTGAGTGCTCGAAGACAACTTATCACAAACATCAAACATCATTTTTTTGGGTCATGTTATGAGACGAGAAAAACTAAAATATGTTGCGACCACAGGAAAGATCTTTGGAAAGAGAGACAGAGGAAGAGAGCGCGAGGCGATTCTTGACAGTCTTTTGTCATGGCATGGATGGGTGTCAGCACATGAACTGATACACGCAGTTGCGGATCATGGATTGCGGAGAGGCGTGATCGCCCACACCAGTCTGCAAGACATTTGATGATGTTGATGTATGTGAGCAAGAAAAAAACCTTATATCTCCCTCGACACCCAAACTGTTATGAGAGTAAATTCAGAAGTAGAAGCAGTAAAGATCATCGATGTTTGTATTTTATTGTTATGATTGCCCAGAAAATAAAATACTGACAGTTGTCACAAATGACAGGGAAGTTTTTCATTGCTGCAGTCAAGGAGCCTTATAATGCCAGTGGTGCGTCAGGAAAGTTTTTCATTGCTGCAGTCAAGGAGCCTTATAATGCCAGTGGTGCGTCAGGAAAGTTTTTCATTGCTGCAGTCAAGGAGCCTTATAATGCCACTGGTGCGTCAGGCCTCTGATGCTGACTTGTATTTTATAGACTAATCCGCAATTGATGGGTGATGTGGCCAGTATCTTGTCAGCTGCCTTTACTTCCCAGGACATGGCCTGGTGCCCATTTTTAGGCTCTGTTGATGTGGCAGTCAAGACCAGGATTCCAAAAAAACTTCCCACTACATGTGGATTTGAACCTACTACATTCGGTCAGCAAGCAGGTGTTTAGCCACTCTGCTGCTAAGGCTTCCAAGAGATACAGTAGTTAAAAAAAAAAAATCCTGTCTCTCCTAGGAATGAAACACCAACTAGCCTCGGCAAACAAATGCACTAAGCCCTATGCTACCACAGCATAGTACTGTCTGTGTATGCACTAAAACACAAAGTTCTCTTATACTGTCTGTACATACACTAAAACAAATAGAAAACACACAATTGACAAGATAGAACATATAATGGGTGTTTCTGTTCCATAAATTGAAATCTCTATGATTAAGAATAACTTGTAAACAAAGAATTACATTATCAACTTTATTTCAGTTGAAATCATTCCACACATTATTTAACATGTATATGCTTGCATGCCTTGAACCTTTCCTTGTATTCCTATTGAATGTGCCCATATCTTTCTGCTCTTATTTTGTGTGCAGTTCTACCCCCCCAGAAAGTAACATTATTGTGTAGATGTAGCAGTCTTTTCACTCTCCTGTTAATTTTGTGTGTGTGTGGTGTCTTTTTCATTATACCAGATCATTTATATTTGTACTGTTTTTTAAATGTATTACATTCTGCTCTGCCCCTAGAAGTGCCCCTAGAAAAATGATATCAGTAGAATTGTAGGACTCTCCTCACACCATTTCTATGAGGGGCATATGATGCTAGACCCAGTGTTTCACAGTGTGGGTTCCGGGGTTCTGCTGTGGGAAAAACAAGAATAGACCCACTGCCTACCCAAAAGCATGTCGTACGAGTCGACTAATTGGGAGCTTCCGTCGAAGTCTGGAGTGCATCTGCCTGAGAGGCAAGGAACCAACAGTCTGAATACAGATCTGTCAAACGGATGCACACACAACACTCAGGTCTGGAACAGGACTGCAGTCCAGAACTGGACGAACAACCAGAACTTTTCGCAGGAGTTTACAGCCGGTGAACGAGAAGAAGAAGAAGAAAGACCTAGTGTTTTCACAAGCCAGTCAGCGCTGTGTAGGTAATGGTTAACCATGCCGGCAACTTTTACTGTCCAACACGTTCATTATGTGGCATCCAATTTTCTAACTGGGTTCACTAATCAGCCCAAGTCAGTTTTCAGCCAGATTGGATTCTTAACCAGGGAGACCCAGGTTGGAATCCTTGGGAAGGTTATGGGTGTTTCTGTCAGAGGCCCACACACAAAAATCATAACCTAAACAGTTTGTGGCAACTGCATTATCCGTAAGACCATAAGCCCTTAGGCTCAAAGCCACCCTCTCCCCTCCCCCTAATCACACACACACATACAGACACTGTAAATACAGGCATCAATGACAGTTAGTATATGTGTGTGTGTATGGTTATTTATCAGGTTCTGAAGGGCTAAAGCTCATGCGCCGCTGGATCGATAACAATAACAACAACAGGTTCTGAACCTATGAACTGGCAGGCAGATGTGCTACCTGGTTAGTACGGGAAAAGACTTTTTTCATGCCAGTGGCATATCGGGCCTATGGAGCAAGTGACATATTTTTATAGACCAGTTGGCACTCATTAGGCCATCTTTACATCCCACGATATTTCCAGGTGACACTTTTAGCCTAGGGCGACCTGGACGTACTGGATCAATTTTAGAAATCCAACGAAAAATAATATATTGTTTACATTACTTTAACACTCAAGGGAAAGGCAAGCTGATATATACAGTCGGACTGTTACTGGAATTGGAACTCTGTGCTTGCTGCTGAAGATGTGGATGGATTGCTTATGGGGAATGTCCCAAGGGCTGGGATGTTGATTCTTAATTCAGCATATTACATTACTTTTATATCTCACATGACCATGAAGGTAACCCGGGCAACAAGTGTTTGCAGAAGTTTGATGTGTCTGCCGAAAGGCGCAGATATCGCAGCCATGTTACAAATGGGCACACATATTTACATCTTCTGATGAACACAGAAGAAGAAGAGATATCTCACTGGACAGTTTTCTCATTTCAACATAACAATGAGATTTAGAGACATGTACATGTGTTATACATCATATCCTATGATATTTTATGAATACAAACAGGACAACACATGAGAACATTGCCATTGATAAATAGGATAACAAGAGTAATACCATTTTTGGATAAATTAAATTGGATAATAAAAGTGTTATCATTATTGAATAAATTATAAAGCTTACAAATTATTACTGCTTAAATAAATTAAATTGGTTAACAAAAGTATTACTGTAGCTAAATAAATTAAATAGGATAACATATTTTCCATTATTGGATCAATTAAAAAGGATAACAAACGTGATACCATAACTGGATAAATTAAATAGGATGCTAAAAGTATCACCATTGTTGAAAAAACAGAATAACAAGAGCATGACCACTGTTGGATAAATTTGGCAGCACAAGTATTGGTCAGCAAGCACGACAGGTAGATTAATCAAGTGCAGGACCCGTCACACGTCATTATTACTGCAGGCATAAGGTGCTAGATCCATATTTGTATAGGCCATTCAGCACTGGATGGGTGACAGACAGCATTATGCTGGCCAGTTTTCTGGGACCCAGAAGCTGGGTCGAACTGGGATCACGAGGCCTGTTATAAAACTCCACCCATACGTAGACCTTCACACCAGCGGACAAGCATCTAGCCATTGCACTGCCACCTGGTGGATTATATTGATGTTGGTT